GAAAACAGGGAAGTCCTCTGGACCATGCAGTCCTCAGAAGGGGACATGCTGCTCCCAGCTGCAGACCCTAAAAGGGCAAGCTTGACACCCAAGTTCAACTCAAGTGAGACATACACCAAGCAACATCGTGAGGACCTGCAACTGACGAGGCCAATTTCATGTAATCTTCATAATCATGAGAAAGCTATTTACTATTATCCCACGATCACACACTTGACAAGAGGTAGAGCTGGGACCCAAACCCAACTTTGCATGCCTTCAAAATCCAGTATTCTATCCACTGTACACCATCACCTACCTATGTAAGAAAATCTTGTAGTCATACATCAGAATTTCTATCTGTGGATAATGGTCAGACAGCTTCTGACCAAAGTTTAATTCATTCAAAACACCCATGCCCCATTAAAAAAGAACCCCAACAGCCTTTTTAATCCATTATGGAACATACTTTCTTCTGAACTATCATCTTCCTTTTCCCCAAATGGTGTATTCTAGTCTTTAAATAGATTTTTACAATTTGTACTCCCCACTTTCCCCAGGGATTATCAAGTCACTTAGAGACACTGTAGGCTAGGCACCACAAGGTCAGCAGTTCAAACCCACCAGCTCTTCGTAAATCCTCTATAGGGTTTCTAGGAGTCGGAAGCAACTCGATGGCACTTAGCCACCACCACCTTCCATGATTTCTTCAAGATAAGCAGCTTTGTATTCTGCAAGACTAGGAGGGCCTTGCTTGAGACCTGTGGTTCTCAGCTGGGGGTGAGTTTGTCTCCCTCTCCAGGAGCTACTTGGCACTGTCACATCTGAAGGTGGAGCCCATGTGTGCTACTGGCATTTTGTGAGAAGAGGCCAGGAATGCTGCTGAACATCCTACAGTGCACCTCCACAACCAGGAATTATCCAGCCCCGAATGTCAGTAGCACCAAAGTTGAAAAATCTTGCTTCAGATCCTTAAAATCAGCCCCAAGAGTTATCTGGAGCAGGTGGAGCACCGTGGTCCACACCGGGGCAGCAGGACAGAAGATAAGCAGACTGCCGGGGCACTACTCATTCCTCCATGGGGGTCCACTGTTGTACCAGGGCTCTAGTCAGGCTTGTGTCTGCCCTTGTTCCTGATACACCAGAGATCCCATCTAAACAGCCTTCCTACAGCAGCTCCCTGCTCCAGGCGGTTAGGTAGGAGTTCCACACCAGAGATGTCTTCTGGGACAATGACACAGTTGCCAAGTTTATTCGTGCAGGGGCCGGCACTGGGACTGTGTTTGGCAGCTTGATCATCGGCTATGCCAGAAACCCATCTCTCAAGCAGCAGCTCTTCTAGGCCATTCTGGGCTTTGCCCTGTCTGAGGCCATGGGGCTCTTCTGTTTGATGTTCTTTTCGCCATGTGAAGCTCCGTAGGAGTCACCTACCTGTCCCTGCTGCTTTGACACCATACCATATGTTGGAGTGTGCTAAGCTTTATCATTAAACACAACGTTTCTCTAAAAAAATAAAAAAAGTCCTGATGTCATCCCCGGTGTGAGGGAGAATCCCTCTACAAAGGAGTTGAGGTACTCTGCCTGCCAGCGGCCTGACAGCTGGGTGCCTATGTTGCTACGTGGAGACAAAATATCCCTGTGATATCTGATCCTTCCGGAAGCTGATGCTCTATGTGTGGCAACTGAGTCTCTTCTCTCACCCCTTTAGCAAGTCACTCAGGACAGGATGAGGAAAGATCCTGTGTTGGCTTTGCCTGCTACCACTGCCATCATTCCCACTGGCAGCCAGAGATCAGTCAGCACAGCAGGCCGAGCTGGGCACCCCGATAGCCTCACAGGCTGGGCCTTGTGAATCCATCCTCAGATACCTGTCAGCATTCCAAAGCCACTGAGAGAGGAAATACACACACTAGCACAGGCCTTGGGAACTCAGCGATTCAGTAGTTCTGAAGTATATTATTCAGGGGCCATGGTCAACTAATATGAGAAGTCATAATATACATCTGCTTACGGTCTATAAACAATAGACACACATGAAGTCTATAAACACACCCGTGTACACACATCCAGCCCTCTCTCTGGTTATTTAAAAATAAAAACACACTGTTTACAGATGGTCTGGACCAAAAAACAACTCAAATGTCTATTTAAGAAACGTCATTTCACAGAAGCCCTAGCCAGGGGTCAGTAAACTTTTTCTGTAAAAGGCCAGATAGTAAATAGTTGAAACTTCGCAGACCATGTGGTTCCTGTCATGACTCTGCCATTGTAGCGTGAAAACAGCCATAGATAATACATAAACACATGTGTGGTTGTGTTCTGATAAAACTTTATTTATGGGCACTGATATTTGAATTTTATATAATTTTTCATATGCAAAAAATATTCTTCTTTGGATTAAAAAAATTTTTTTAATCACTAAAAATGTAAAAACCATTCTTGTGGGCCACAAAATAATGGGTGGTGGGTTGGGCTTGGCCCACAAGCCTGTTTGCTGACCCCTGCCCTAGGGCCACTCTTACACCCGTGTGTGCTAACACAGAGCCTACCATGCTATGCCCTGTTTCTTTGCTCTTTCCACCTCCCAGACCCAGACCTTCTTCCCCGTAAAGAGCACAGCTAAGGAGCTCTAGAATGTCTCCCAAGTTTTAGGTGCAATGTCAAGATTTATTAGAAACAGGCCACATTTGAGAGAGCACCGATATACTTCAGTATTGTGTGTTCAATAAAAACATCAAAATGATCAGATAATGAAGTTGAGAAACTCACTAACTTTGAAAAATAGGCTTTATTTTAACCAGTGGCATTGTATGACATCCTATATGGCATAACTGATTACAGCCAAGTTCATGAATACAAATAAAATAGCAGTTTCCCTCATTCTCTCTTTTTGTTTTCTGTTCAGAGAAATCAGGAAGAGAGGGGGAGCAGTATGCTCAGAAACCCAGGAGCTCCTCCACAAGCTCCAGCTGGAGTCCAGGCTCCTGGAGCATGTAGCCTCCTAACACGTATGTGGTCACATGTGCAAAGACCTTTATTAAAAAATATTCAGCGCAATATTTCTGTAGGCAATCACACTAGCATTTACAACCAAACATGGCTGCTGAACTTCATGGCTGCTGTGGATTACATTTCCAAGTGAGGATTTGAACTGCATATGAAGGAGATGAGGCCTTAAAGTTCACTTTCCTTCCAAGAGGGGGAGAATCCCAGGTGAGGGGTGATCACCACTGGCCTGCCTCCTTCTTTCGTGGCCCAGCTGACTCCAGGGTATTCCCCTGTCCTCTGGAGAATGGGTAACACTACACTGTGATAGAGAAATGGAAACACCTTGGTCCAAGTTCAAGGTGTCATCACATAGCCAACTCTGGAAGTGGCTTTGCACTTTCTTATTTCGTAACAGGCTTACACATGGGCCTGTAAGTAGCACAAGATGCCTGAAATTCAAAAAATTATGAAAACAACTCTTCTCACCCCTGAGGATATTTCATCTCTAAAAAGTTGAAAATACAAAGTATTAAAATAATTTGCCCTTTCTCCCCATCAAAAGGAATTACGTTCCCAAAAGATTCCTGCAGTATACAAAGTTCAGAAACAAAATTTATTTCTCCCCAAACCAAAACCAAGAAGTCAAATGTTAAGCTGCCAAGAAGCCCCTTTTCCATAGAGGGGTGGAAAACAACAACACCACCTCATTACTTTTCTTACAACCAGGTTAAGAGAAAGATAGCGAAAGGAGTTTCTGGCCTCGTAAGCTTTTATTTTTCACTTTGATTTTCTTCATTCCTTAGCACTGGTTATTGGGAGTGAAGAGAACAACTTGTTTTCTAAAGTTTGGGACATGCCTGGGAAAAGCCCTGATCTTTCCCATGACAGGTCCCCAAAAATAGTGTGTTGAAAACCAGGATGACTAGAATGAAAATGCTATACACATCCATCTGTTCCATTTCTTTATGGTTTTCACACCAAAAGCACCTGGAGTAACAACTGTGTTCAACACAAAACAGCACTGGGTGCTGAAGAGAAGATGATGCCACCTGCCCATAACATTAGCTGAGGTGACAGAGGGTCTGAACTACCCATCAAGTCTTCACTGGCAAATATGCCCGGCACCAGGGCCTCCTGATGAGAACAGGACAAGCAGCTGTGCATGCTCATATAGCAAGACATGCAAAACACATCCTCACTCTGCTAGGAACAAAGAGCACACAGGAATACACTGACAGTTGGAACCTGTTTCTGACTACTGGGCCAATACTCAAGAGACCTCTGCACAGAAGGTGAGGGGTAAGTAGAGAAATGGCAACTCCCCCTGGGGGTAAGGGTGAAACAGACACACACATACGCATGCTCATTCATCCGCACACTGCCTGGGCAGGCTCCCTGGTCACTATGAGTTCACAAGTGGCCACCTGACAACCCTGTCTACTTGCCTGGCTCAGAACTGCATCTGTTGCACTCCTTTACATAGTCACACCTTTTTCTCTCCTTTTAAGGCACAAACATATTTACAGTTTCGGGTACGCCTGTCAAGTTCTGAGGATGATACTAAGCAAGTGAATCACAGGTTAGTGCACAGAAGAAGCCGGTTGGTCCGTTGTGGCTGTACACGTTGCTGAGGGATGGCTTCAGATCCGAAGTAGCCGTAAGGTGTGAGCCTTCTCTCTGGGCCACTGTGCGACACGGTCAAGTTGACTCCCACCATCGGGGTGGGACCACAGGAGAGGCCAAAATGGCAAAAACATGGCAGGGGTTTGGGACATTTAATATTTTTACTTTGCATCTGACATACCTCAATGAGATGGGAGCGCTCATCTGCCTGAGTCAACTCTCATCAAGAGAGCAGGCAGAGGCCGCCGCAGTGTGATCTCAATGACACATGAAGCCACTGTGGTCATCGTTTGCTCATATTCTCTTACCAACAAGAGAACGCACACATGCACACGCACTGAAATGCACACATTTACACACACACACACACACCCTTCCACCATGGAGGAAATCTTTGCAACAAGAGGCACTTGATTGATATTTGGAGAGTTCCCATGAAAAGGCCTTCCCCTCACAGTGAAGTGGGATCAACAGAACAGAAATCAGGTTCTCAGGACTCCATCTCTTCTTGGTCAAGTGGGGGTGGTACAAAGCTGATGACTTCATCGTAGGTCAGGCCTAGGAATCAGGGGTGCGGGGAGATGTAAGATATTAGAGTTGTCGAAGACTATTCTCTTTGAAGGGAATCAATCAGTTTACCAAGTTGGCAAGCATTCTGGCTTCTAGCCTCCAGATCCTCCCCCTGTATCCCCAGTGTGCACACCAGTGGTTTGAAGGGCTACTTCAAATAACTGCCTCACTGTTTGAGGCACTGAAGTTCAAGGGTACAAATAAAAATAGCTATTTTTTCTCATTTCTTTCATCACTGAGTACTCCCTCTTTAAAACTCTCTGGAGAAGGTACTTAAGAATAACAGAGTACTCCCACAAGCCACAGTGACAAACAGTCCTGACTTTTGGCATGTCACTGGAGCTCTGAATTTGTGTTTTATGGAAAGAATATAATACTGAACATACAGGAGAAATGGATTCTATTCCTGACTGTGTCCCAAACTAATTCTAAGGTAATAAATAAGCTATAAACTTTACGTGGTTCTATCAATAAAATACTCCATTTCTTACTCATCTCAGAGAGATGTAAATGCAAAGTGTCATTATCTACAATAGTTTCCATTAAAGAAGCATATCCATTCTGCTTTAGAGACCCAACTACAACTTTCAGTGAGTTGGTTAAACTTACTCAGGAGTGTTTATTTTTCCAGACCTTTTGTAACTTACCTAGGAATGGTTTTAAAATCTAAGTTCTTAAGGTAGATGTGAATCCTGCTCTTAGGACTTACTTTTCCACTCATCTATAAGGAGGTCTCTGCTTTCAAAAGACTGGTCGTAAGGATCAGCCACCGGTTCATCATCAGGATCGTGGTACTGAGCAAAGTAGGCATGAGCAAGGGCTTGGGCTGCAGTGATTCTCTTGTCTGAATCCAATACAAGCATCTTCTCCAGCAAGTCGACAGCTTTCAAAGATTGGAAGGAAATAAGAGTTCTTAAGCATGTTACAAAAAAGTAGGCTTTATTCAGTTTTGATCTTTTATATCTATAAACAAACTTTCCACCAAAACCTCTGCTGAAGGATATATCCTTATTCATTTGCAAGGGATTTTGAGGTTCTCAGATTCTGTGCATTGGTAAGTGTATGCACGTCTGTGTGCATGCATGCATGTGTGCATAAATGGATGGATTTTTTTTTTTTTTTAAGTACGTTCTTAAAGAACTGAAAAAAACAAGTGGAATTCTGTTTGATCAAATTTGTGGGATGTCAGTATCGACTACCCCTATGTCAAGCTTTCAAAATGATAGCCTAGTGCTAGATTAATACAAAAGAGGTAGGTAAGGTTTGTTTTTGTTTTTCTTTGTCTTCCTTAATGATTTGGAGTTCTGGTCTGGTGCTGTAGGATAAGCACTGGACTGTTAACCGAAAGGTTGCCAGTTCAAACCTAACAACCGCTTTTCAGAAACCCTATACAGGCTTTCTATGAGTCAGAACCGACTCGACTGCACTTAACAACAACTATTTAATGACTTATTTACTAATTTAACATAAAGAAATGTTTATCAAAAATATCTTCAAACAATGAACAAATTGAGCGTTTGGGGCTGTGTGGGAGACATGACATTTATATAAAAGGGAATTTTATTATTACTATGAAAATTTCAAATATACAAAACAGAAAAGTAAAATAGTACAGTGACCATCCATATAGACACCACCCAGACTCACCAATTGTTAAGATTTTATATTTTCTTTATATATATTTTTCTCAACCATTAAAAAAAAACACACATGATACTTCATCTTACAGTAGTTCTGCATAAAGACATCTTCCGACATAATCATAATACTGTTATATAAACAAATGAACAACTCACAAATACCTAAAATTTGGTTCATATTAAGATTTCTCCAATGATCCTATAGCTGATCTGTTCAAACCAGGATTAAATTAAGGACCATCTGGCTGTACCTCTTTTAATTCAGAATAGTCCCTCACCTTCTAAATACCCCCTTTCCTGCCTTTGGCCTGAAAAGCCCTTCCAGTTGTCTTGAGAATACCCATCAGAGACTACTTCTTTGCAGTTAACTATATTATCTCCTGCATTTCCGGAAAACTGAAAGTTAAACCTAAAACTTAGGCAAGAATCAGGTAAAACATCTTTTGGCAAAAGTATCTCATAGGTGATGCAGTGTAATTCATACTGATGTAATGATGATATTAAATTTGATTACTGGGTTCAGATGTTTTCCTCTCTGTGGGATACGTTAGCACCATGTGAATATCAGTTCCCATCAATCTTTCACTTATGGCTTTTAGCTTCCATTGATTTGCCTTGCCAGAAGTGATTATTTCATTAGGGATTACAAAACAGAGCTTTTCCTAAACTTTTTCTTTCAAGAGAGGATGTCTTCAGTTTCAGAACACTGGCACCTGGGAGGATGCATACTGCAGTAAGCACCATCATCAATTTGGTAAAATAGAAAGGCTTTTGAGATTTTGCAAATTATAGATGGCTCCTTAAATTGGGGATGGGGTGGGAGGCGGTAAGAGGGGAGGGGTATGAATTAGTGAAGGGGAGGCAGCTTCTTAAAGATGTCCTGGAACATGAATTCAGTGACAACCGAGTTGCTAATATTTACAGTGCCACTGAACTCCTGCTCAGTTAATATGCGGGGTATGAGTTCATGATCAGTAACATCGTGTTCCATCTACCAAGCAAGAGAAGACTCTGTATGTGACATCACCATTTGGCAATGAGCTGCAAGGCACATTTAACTTAGAGAAATACTGTGCTAAGCAGCCGATGGACCAGGTCCTACAATCAACTCACTAGCAGTCAGCTCATGGCAGCGTGCTGTCCTGTTTTTGTGACTGTTTCAATGTCATGGTTCCAGGGGATTGGGGAGGTATGTGACCTACATAAGCTGTTGTTGTTGTTGTTATGTGCCACGGAGTCGATTCCGACTCACAGCGACCCAGTACAGGGTTTCCGAGGCTGTAAATCTTTACGGGAGCAGAAAGCCTCATCTTTCTCCCGCGGAACAGCTGGTAGTTTCGAACTGCTGACCTTGCGGTTCACAGCCCGATTCGTAACCACTACGCTACCAAAGCTCCTGTTAGCACACATATATTTCCTACCCTTCACAGATACATGAATGAATAAATCTCTTTGAGGCTGCTAACTGGAAGTCAAACAATGCACAATGCCATGTCTACAACTCAGGGCTAATATGATGAAAAATACAAATCAGAACAGAACGAGTGACAAGCAAGCTACTGGCATCTTTTCCCATCATTCCAGAGTACTTATGACTCAGAGAGCACTCACAGATCCTTGAACTAGCTAATACAGCTCAAATAAATCATGCAATAAGAATACATGCCAAGGCAGACGCAAGCCTAACCAAGGACAGTGGAATTCTATATATCCCTGAGGAGTTTGTGGATTCATCTTTGGATGAGACAGTGACGCAGCCAAGACACGTCATACTCTCTCACCAAGGCTGATGTGGTTGCAATTAGAGCTGCCCAACACTTCTGAAGAGTGCAAAGCCTCTCTGCGAGCTGCCAGAGTAAGAATCCTCATAGCAACACGGACCCTCCTCTCAACAATCACTAAAACGAAGTACTTAAGATAAAACTGGTGAGCCTTCAAAACCCAACTTTTGAAGAGCTCATTGTGACTGTCAGTTCCCCAAAGGATAAAACTAGATCAGAATACAGCTGACAGGATCCTTCAGGAGGGGAGTGACCCCCACAAATCATACAGTTGCTTAAGAGATAGTGCCTTAGAGAAAACACACTGAGATATTAACATACCTCTACAAAGCTGGCTGACTGTCCTAGCTATCACAGCCTTGCTTCCTTCCCTGTCTGAAGCCTCCTGTGTCTGCTACTAAATAACTCTGAGGTCCTGGAGTCAGGGAATTGAGAGCCTCGGGCACTATAACTTTGGGGGGTGCCAACTGAAACAACATAGCAGCCCCCAGCTTTAGGGCACAGAGCCTCCTTTTCCAGTTAAGGCAGTAAATAACCTGCAGCCGCCCCTCTGCCAAACATTCTGGAGGTGATGGTGGTAGGAAGGCATGTGGAATCATTCTGTGAGGTTGGTGGTGAGGATGGTGAAGCTTCAGAAGGGCAGAGGAAGAAGAGGGAAGAGGAGAGAGTACATAAATGTGAAAGGCGGCAGGATCTGTAACCCCAGGAGACTACAGGCAGAGCAGAGCATGCTGCAGAGAGCTCCTGGCTGGGTCCTCGAAACACCTACCCATGTCTCCGTTGTTTTTACCCTCAGTTTGGAGGACTATATAGTGAGAAGAGTTGTGAATAAGCCACAGGCTCTGTACCTCTTTATTCCTGCCTCCCCCAATCTTCTCTCCCACCATTCCCATGACTTTCTCTCCCGTCAACCCTCCTACCAAATCCTGTGACCATAGAAAAATGTATGCATGTCATACAACGCCAAAATATCTACAAATACAGATAATAAATGACATATTTTCCCACCTTTCAAGATTTAATTAATGGTGTCCTATTTAATCAAAGGAGTCCTGGTGTGGCGCTGTGGGCTAATGCGTCAGATTGCAAAGTCGTTTGAACTGTAAGGTCGGCAGTTCAAGCTCACCAGCTGCTCCTTGGAAACCCTATACAGGGTCACTATGGGTCAGAATTGACTCAACGGCACACATAACAATAACAATTTAATCAAAAGGAAAAACTCTTCTTTAAATCCCTAACTTCTGTCACAATCACCTCAATGTCCATAAGAAGAGGACACAGCCAACTTACCCAGGGGATTGGCACCAATAAATACGTTAGCAAAGTTCATCTTCGGCATCTGGGTCAAAGACTGAATGTAGTTTCTTGCCTGTAAAAACAAGGGTTTTCAGAATGGCTTTGTTCATTAATGTAATTGCCCTAAAAAATTATTGGCCTATAAAGGAACATGTGTCAGCTCCAATGTGTTTGGACCGTCTTTTATATTCTTTAAAGACACTGCTTGTGTTGCCATCCTAACTTCCTTCTTTGTGACCATCACTTATATTTATTTCTGCTTTCACAATTATATTTCAAGTGAGCAGGAAAGGTAACCAATTTGGTTCTTTTTCATTAGCTTTCTGATCACAGGATATGAGGCCAAGATATGTAAGAAGTAACTCTTTCCCACTAGCCTCCCTAGACAGTTAAAACTGTCATAAAGGTAGATACTCCTATGTAAAGTCTAGAACCAGCGCTCTGTCTGTTGATGGTGCTGACCTCAGCAGGTGCTCTTAGTACACTAACAAGGATAGCAATATTACGAAAATGAACATAAACCTAATTTATTACTCAAAGAGATTCAAACACACAACAATAGTGTAAAAGACAAGCTAATGAATGCAATAAAGAATTGCTCTTAGAAGTGGATTATACATTTCATATCCTAAGAAGAAATTCTTCCTCTAGCTCTTACAATCTATAAGTTGGGTCTCAACTGATGCATCAACTACTTCATCAAAAAAATTATTAGTATTAATATTTGGCTTGCCCGTATCATATAGTTATTGTGATACTCAAGCAAGATAAAGTTCATGAAAGCAACGGGAAACTAACGTTCTGCTATAAAAAACATTTATTTCACCAGCACAGTTATTCTAAGTTTGGCTCTACAGTTGGGGCAGGCTTGGATTTGAATCTTGACATTTATTCTCTGAATGTCTTGGGCTATCCTCTGTGTTAAGAGAGAGGACTAGTGATAATAAACCAAGAACTGCATTAGCATCATAGTTGGGTCACAGTGAGAGCTCAACAAACACTATCCCTATCACTGTCACCTTTAGAAAGGAAAGATGCCACTGTTTTCATTTTCCAAGGATGTTTCAGCTTCACTATTCTGGACTTCATTCTAAAGAGAGTCAGGTGCCAAATACTTTCAAAGACTGATATAGATCTAATCAAGGCATGTGTATATATGCATTTATGGTCATCATCTTTATTTATTTATTCCTGCTGGCTCTCATACATAGCTAGAACAAGTTGTGGCAGCTTTACTCTCTAAACTCATTTTATGCGGAGCAAGTGGGAGAGGTCCATTTTAAAACGCAGCTGAGAATCTCTCCAATTTGAAAAAAAAGTTCTAGAAATATAATGCACACGGGGATATAACCCCTTTCCATTTGAGCAGGTAGATAAAAGGATGAAGGGAAACAGAGGTAGCAGAGACCCATCTCATCCAAAGAATAGTCACCCCTCTAGTAAGATAAATAAAAACGACTACCCCCTGGTGTGGCACTGCAGGATCAGCACTGGACTGCGAACCACAAGCTCAGCAGTTCAAACCCACCAGCTGCTCCTCAGGAACCGTATACAGGGTTGCTATGAGTCGGAAATGACTCGACAGCGTTTAACAACAATAAACTCAATATAGCTGAAGTAGGGAAAAAGGTCCCAGAGACGGGATCCTGTATTACCAATTTGGTATGAAGTCCCCCAAAATATGAAGAACAACTTAGAAACGAGTGCCCCAAATTATCTCTGGTGATAAAATTAGAGTTGGATTAAGTTGTTAGAATTGGTAAAGAAGGCACCTTGCCCATCTAAGTAGTGTTCCTATTTATTATTTGCTTATTTTGTTTTGAATCTAGTACTTATTAGGTTTGGATATTTCATAGGTTGTTTTTTTTTTTAAATGTAGAATCCTACTTTGGTCATTTAAAACTGTTTGAATTGAAAAGCCTGTTAATAGTTTTCAGCTAACTACATTTCCAGCTGAAGCTCCCCAGATAGGTAGTATAGCCCTAACAGCAGGCACACACCTAGGGAGAAACTAAAAGCTTCTTGAGCATTGAATTCATAAAACCCAGATATAAAAGAAACACCATCGTCTATTTACAAGCCTAAAAGTTATATGCTGAATCCACAGAACTGAATGACATTTTGTTCCAAATGTCAACATCTTGCGATAACACATAGGCAGGCATTGCCTTAGTATCCCCTCAAGGCACATGCAAGCATTCAGTGACATTAAACACTGCTGGTTATACAGTGGCAGTAAGATGTGAATGTGGCCTTCTGAATTAGACACTCTGTACAGTCTACGTGTTCTCACCTCATGGCTTGGCATCCTGTTAATGAGATAAGCAGGGGGTGTCCCCGTCAGACGCATAATCTGCTGAAGCTGGTTAATATCTTAGATGCCTAGTCAAGGGCATTGTTAAACATACAGTGCAAAACAGAACTTACATGTTTTAAAAAGGCTGAAAAGCCACGCCAAAACAAGCCAACCGTAAATCTTCGTACCCCCCCCCACGCAGCCCACCCACCACTGGCCAAAGCCCAGGGCTGCACATTAAAGCAATGCTTCCGCGGATGGCAGGGAAGTAATCAGGCCTGTAGCCAATGACTGGCCATGCAGATGAGGAAAATGAATTTCCTTCAGTTTTAGCCCCAACATTCATTATTTTAGGCTCCCTGGAAATAGACTGTCCCTTAATTCAGGATGCCAGCCAGAAAACTATTTTTAAGCACCAGTGGCCAAAACCTTAAATATGGATAAATGTAGATGTTGCAGAAAATTTCCACTCATTGTGTGGACAATATAAAATATCCAATATATCCATTCAAGGAAGAGACTAAATTTTTGTGGCCTAGGGTCTGTGATTCTCTAAGGTGCCACCCCTCTAAATATGAGACACGGGTAGGTGTGTGGGTGTGTGGATAAGCAGTACCAAGTTTTAAAGACATTTAGTTGTAGTACAGTTGAAATACATGCCATAGACACACAATGGTAAGTGGACAAAGTGAGTGCAGGGAGAGTTAGAATCCAACGGCAAAAACAAAGCACAAGTCACAGGCTGCTGACAGCATGATAGCATGCCACAGTGATTTCTCCCAGAAAGCTTTTCAACAAGAGAATAAACTGATTTCACCTAGCAAATAAATACCTGGGAGCAAGTTTGCAAAGACACTTGGCAAAACTCTGAAAAGAACTATGAGGCTCTCCACATGGACAAGTACATGATATTCTAGACTTCTCTCTTTTAACTGTCCAGCATGTCTACACAGCCCCTGCACCACTATTCACTTATCACGTGTATCAGGAGTGATGGGCTTTTTAAAAGACTTCTTGGAAAAACTTCCAGAAACCCCCTTTCTTGTCAACTATTAACTCAGTTCCTTCCTTCAGTTATCAGATCATTTTCAACAAGTGCCAGGGTTAAGTAATTTCACTTTTTTGTGGTTTCCATCAATAATCTTTCCACGTTTGTTCATCCTCTGAACTCAATTTCCCAATAGTTAGATAACTGCTAATGCACATTTGGAGTCCTGGTGTGGCGCTGTGGGCTAATGCATCAGACTGCAAAGTCATTTGAAATGCAAGGTTGGAGGTTCAAACTCACCAGCTATTCCTTGGAAATCCTATACAGGGTTGCTATGGATCAGAATCGACTCGATGGTACTTAACAACAACAATGCACATTTAAGGCTGGCCACTAAAGAAAACAGTTGGGGCCAAGGGCATTACTCTGTCTTTCATGCTCCCTAAGACTTTAGTTAGGGGGCATGAAGTTCTTTTAACATCCTCACAAAGTTGAGAGTTACCTTTAAACAAATTACCTAACAAATGGTACTGGGCATGCCAAGAGAAGTAACAAAGGTGGCCGGTCACTAAGCAAAAGTCAAGAGCAGAAATGTCAACCTCCTGCCATTTCTCCCTTCCTTTCTGTGAACAATATTGGCTGTGTATTTTCTATTTTTCTCTCCTTTAGTCAGATAGGTCATCATGCCCTCTCTTCTCAAGAGGCTGTTGTTGCTGTTAGTGCTGTCAAGTCAGTTCCGACCCACAGCAACCCTGTAGAGGGTTTCCAAGAGTGGCTGGTGAGCTTGAACCACCAACCTTGCGGTTCAAACCAACTACAGTTCAGTACATTAACCCGCAGCACCAGGGATAGGGAGGAAAAGGGAGAAAGACTGAGCATGACGGCTGTTAAAATGCTAGGAAGGATATATTTTTAGAGAATGATTTGAGAGGAGTCAGTGAAAGGGCTTCAGCTTGTAAAGTATGACGTTTTTCATCTTGCACAAGTACTACAGTTACTGGATCACCAAATCAGAACACCCTGTCTTTAGATATCTATCATAACTCATATTTCCTCTCCTATGGAATATCCAGAAGCCCCAGTGGTACAGTGATTAAGCATTTAGCTGCCAGCCAAAAGGTTGGTGGTTCGAACCCACCAGCTGCTCACTCATGCCATGGGAGAAAGATGCGGCAAGCTGCTTCTGAAAAAGGTTTGCAGCCTTGGAATGCCTATGGGGCAGTTCTACTCTGCCCTATCGGGGAGCGATGAGTCACGATGAACTCAACAGCACTAGGTTTACAGTGCACCCAACAGTCAATAATATTGACAATGGCAGTCAGTCCATTATTGCCTTCTTTTAATCAGAAGTCCCTACTATTTGCTGAAGTTCTACATAAATGCTGGCATCACTACTTCGCTGCTTTTCAAGAATGAAAACAGCTATTGGTGGTCTCTGTTTATGACAATTCTTTCACTAATGCTCCTCCCCCATTTTTTGGGAATAATTTCACTCACCTGGCCTGGTTAAATTTCTACTATGTGCGTCACACATTGTATACTTCTATTTAAGATAAGCACTTAACAACAACGTTACCTTGAGTAGGAATTGGCTTGACAGGAATTTTGTATGTTTTTTTCTTTTTACCTTTTTGAATGTTCAGACTACTTTTTATCCATTTGCCACAACTACACAGGAAAGAAAACTTTTCTAATTATACCTATACTCATACAGTATCATTTGAGTAGGGTCTGTATTTTGGTACTCAATCTCACTATATCTAACTCTATACCAACAAGATATATAAGAGGGGGCTTCAAACAGTTCATGGAAAATTCCATTATCTTTCAGTTCCTTTTTTCCACAAATGTACTGAAATCCCCTTGGACAATATAGTAATTAAGATGTATGTACCTTTCACATAAGATAAAGACATAGCATGATTATGCCATGCAACCAGTGTTACTTATTTTTCTTTAAAAATAAATGATGAGTTAATGATGGGTAAATACTATTTTGCCCATACTTTTTCTTCTAGAACTTTTTGTGACTATCAGCATATATATGTACAAGACAGATGATTGGGAGGTTGGGAGCGGAAACTGAGAAAGAGCTGTTCCCTCGGTCTCATTAGCACCTTCATCAATTAACTGAGTTCTTGCACAGACCCCCACCCCCCTCTACTAGCCAATCTGTCTAAGCAAATTGAATGAAAGGAAAACGAAAACCACTGCCCTCTCTAAGTATCAGCTCATAACTTCTTTGATTCACACCAATCCAGCTTCTGTATTTCATCAAGCTAAAGAAGATACTCTTTTAGGTTGACATAATGGCCAGTAGCTCTGACAATAACTTTCAAAGTTGAGGGCCACTGCTTGAGATTTGAGATTATAGTTTACAGATTACAGTGTTGTGATAGTATTATCACAACATCAGGGATCCATACTCAGCTCTGCCAAGTGACTCATTGCATGACTCAGACAAACCACAGCCTTTCTAAGCTGTTGCTTCCTCATCTTGATTAGAGAAGAGACAAAGTAACATAGGGCTAGCCCAACTCTCAGAACAGAAATTCAGAAATACAGTAGGCTGTGCTGTTCTTTTAAGGAATGTACCAAATACATACTGGATGATGGTATTCTTTGTCAAGGATATGATGAACAGCTCAGACTCACCTGCTCATGCCTGCCTGAAGCTACCCAGCAAGACATAACTGGAGCTTGGCTCAACAGCTCCTTTTCCCTTTTATCCAACTGCATGGTGGCAGCCAGGGGTTGTGGCCGGGACAGAGAGGAAAAGGGAGAAAGACTGCACTTTCATGGCTTCTCAAGTATCTTGCCGGAGAAAACTACCAAAAGCAGGAAATCATAGCTAGCCAAAGTACGCAAGGTCACATTCCCATGGCTTCATTCTTTAAATCTCTGCTGAGAAGCAGGAAGGCACTAACCCCAAAGTCTTTCTCTTCCGTTACTCAATGAGTATTTATAAAGGAAAGCTGTGGGAGGAAGGATTTACAATCCATGGCTCTGAGGTGTCAGGATTGAGCTGGGAGGCTGGGGGAGATCCTTGGAGTGGTTTGAGGACGGGAGTAGAGAAGTATCCCTTGGGAATACTGTGCATTTGTTGGGAATAACCTCACACAAAACTGTGACTTGTCTACGCTAAAAAAAAAAAAAAAAAAAAAGTAAATAACTTCTGGAAAAGACTACAGTATTCAGAAAATTCACATTTCATTCTTTTCATGATAAAGCTAGACTAATACCTGGTCAAGTTTGTACTCTGAGAACAAACACTACCCAAAAGGTGAACGAGTTTGAGTATATGTGAGGCTTCTGAGAAAGATGAAGTTAGAGTTTGAGAATAAAGAATCAAATTTTCCATTAATCTCTTAGAATGAATTGATTTCAAATCTCGCTGTTTTAATAGGATACCATTGCCCATTAGAGGCTCCCATGATCTAAGTATATAACCAGACAGAGTGAGCAGAGTGAGAGATAGAATAGAGCATACTTGCACATACACACATTTATACCTTATCCCAAAAGTCAGTACATAATAGGCACCGTGCTTACAGACATACCCACATCAAAGCACAGAATGATGGGAGGCAGGCAGCATGTGGCAGAAGTAAAGAGGAACTTAGATTCCTAACAGGACAGATAATTACAATCAAAGCATCAACTCACAGACTCTGAGGAGATTTTCTTCAAAAGCTCATCCCCTGGGGTTCCAACGAGTCTTAAAATGAGCTTCAACTGATCAATATCTAATGGTGGACTATAAAGGAAAATGTTGGGACAAAATAAAAATGAAAAACAAACAAACAAACAAACAAACAACGAACAAACCAAACAAAAAACCCCAACAACAGAAGTAAAAAAACAAAACAAAATCCAAAATGGTGGCTTCATCTAGTTCAAGGCTTCTGCAGGATGGTCACTTCAAGTAGGACATGCTCCTCCTGTACAGAGATTCAAAACGCTACCACACACAGATCCAACTTATATTCACTTTGTGCAACTGTCAACAGTACCTACCAGTAAGTGGAAATGAATTTAGCTACCTAAGACAGCAGGTGAAAGCACAAAAGTTTTATTCAGTTCATATGTTCAGTCCATACCTACCTCATCTTCTACCTGTATCCACCTTCTACTCATATCAAAGCAGTTAAGCAAGGAGCATTGGTAGGCAAAGGGCTACAGACAGGGGAACAAACGACAGAGCAAGGAGCTAGGGGAAGTCAAGCAAGCAAGCAGGCGTATTTGTGAATATTCCCCTATGGCTTGACCTAAAGGGTTTGTAATCTGACAGTGGGATACCTGCCAAGATCCCAGAGCCCAACCACTTGGCCAGCCTAGAAAACTCTCCTCTCACACTGGCTGCAGGACTGTGAGGGGGATTCTGCCAGCAGAGGGCACTCCTCCACTGCATGTTCTTCCAGGAGTGCCATCATGAAGCAGCGCATAGATGATTTCAACCTTACATATGCAAAATGAATAGAGTGAATAGCAAACGTCACATATCCCAAAATCTTTAAATCATAAGCCACAAGATCCAAACCTTTATTCTGGTAATATATCAAAATGTTATGAGTTTGTACAAGGATTAACTAGTAGATATTCTTACTGCTTTTAGCCTTGCTGGACCACAAGTTTAGTTTGAACGACAAGGTCAGTGGTTCAAACTCACCAGTTGCTCCTCAGAAACCTTATACAGTTGCTGTAAGTCAGAACTGACTCAATGGCACTTTAACAACAAGAAATACAGTTAAAAGATGAGAAAAAAAATCTTATAGATTTTAAGATTCTTAATGAAAACTGAAATTCCTTAGCTATATTTATGTTTACATTTGGGGAAAGGTCATGGCTTTCTTAGTTTCTTAGTATTAAAAGCAAAATTAATTCAATGTAAAAAAAACTTCCTGTGTAAAGCTTACAAAGCAGTAATAAGTCATCATCGTCATAAATCAAACAGAAATACTGCAAGTTAGACTCATACAGCATATTCTCACCATAATAAACTTCCCTTTTCAGGCCAAAGTCATCAGAATCAATACATTTTTAAGTTTAAAGCAAGTGGAAAAAAACCCCACAAATGCTAAATAAGTTTATTTTGCTGCTTTCATGAATGATTCACTTCCATCAAAAGGACACAATTTCAATGTGAATCTAAAGAATCAGAAAAAGACAACCAACATTTACGGTGTAGCAGTCATTAAGATTCCCAGCTGGGCTCTGAAATTCTGAAACTTAGCCTAATTGATGCTTCTTTTGGATCAGGACAAAGTACCCTGTAATGAAATTAAGGAATTCTGGTGTGGCGCTGTGAGTTAATGCGCTGGACTGCAAAGTCAGTTTGAACCGCAAGGTCAGTGGTTCAACAACAATAAAATTAAGCAGCATAGGCAAGTTTAATTGATTTCTATATAGGAAATTAACCAATTTCTTGGTCAGAACAGAGAGCTAGATTAATGCCAAGAATCTATCAATTAAATAGGTTTGGGAATCCTGGAAAAGGAAGTTGGGCAATCCTTCTTGACAAGGAAAAGGAGGTGACAGAGGATGGACTTGGGTGTTAGTCTTTGTTTAACGTCATTCTATCATAGAATCATTGACACATTTCCTAAGTGATATCTCTATTTTGATTCATTTCCAGATTCTGTAAGATGATAATCAGAAAACGTTTTCTATTCAAACAGTACTACTCTGATTTCTTGTGTTTGAATGTCGTCTTTCTCTGTGTTCCCTGCCCCTGTCAGGTTTGGCTGCATGATTAGGTTCTTTTCAACTTTAAGTCTCCATTTAAAGTTCCCCTCGTCAGAAAGGCCTCTCCAATACTCCAGGACAGAGTACTGCACACTGTGTTATTAATCTCAGAACCACGCTTGCTAATTCATGCCACAACTGCTATCATAATCTGTAATTACTTTGTTTGCTAACTAATTTTTACCTGTCGTCCCTACTGTGCTATCAACTTTAAGAAGACTCTGGCTGTTTACCACTTACCTTGAGTGCTTAGCAAAGTTAGGGGCTTCAAAATGTTTCTGGAAAAATGGGATTATAAAATAGTGGAATTTTTCCACAAATTTTTGGAAACTCCCTTTTATGTGATGGGCACTGAAAGTATTTGTGATTCAATTTATAAAATTTTAGTCCCCTCACACTTTCCAGGAACACATGTAACTGGATAGAGTCCGGCTATGGTACTGTAGGATAAACAATGGACTGCAAACAGCAAGGTCAGCAGTTCAAACCCACCAGCCACTCCTTGGAAACTCTATACAGGAAGGTTATGAGTTGGAATCAGTTCAACAGCACTTAACATAAACAACAATCCTACAAGATAAAGCATATCACACATATGTGAAATAAATGAAACTATTTCAACTCACAAATAGGTAGTTTTATAGTATACGCATCAAAGCTTATCTCAAGAAAGAATGCTATTGAGCTTGGTAAGGCTGTTTAAAAGAGGGCCAAGTTGTATTCAACCTGAGAAAGTCCCAACACCCAGGGCTGGGAGGCTCACGGAGTAGCCCATGATATATAGACTTAGTTGGCAAACTTTTTCTCATGTCATTTCTAGAGATGAGTTACATACATGTAATATAGGAAATATATTATTTGTACAATATATTAAAAAGAAAAACAAGCCTTTTAACTTTAAAGATAGTTTTATGGTTACAATTAAATTGTATACTAAATGCTGTCTTTGTGAGCTGAGTGAAGGGTTACAGAGTTCATCAGTTTTATGTTTAACAAATCATATACCTTGCTTCATTACATGGTTGCAATGCCCTCCTCCCTCCATGTACCAATAGTTAACGTTGATCTCTATTCACTTTAACTATTGCGTTCCTCCTGTGTCTCCTGCTACCTTCATCTTTCCTCTGCTAACCTCCCTCTTGTTGTATATTGCCTGCCTGTCACCCACATTAACATGTGTCTATCGTCTTCTTGTTGTTGTTAAGTGCTGTTGAGTCATTTCTGACTCACAGCGACCCCGTATAGGGTTTCCTATGAACAGCTGGTGGGTTTGAACTGTCAACCTTGTATTTCACAATCCAGTGCTAATCCTATGGCGCCACACTGGGAGTCTACTCTCTAGCTCATGAATAAGTCCCCTCACCCACTCCAGATAACCATCATAGATTGTTTCATATATCAAGAAAACCTTTTTATAACATTTGCTATAAAAACACTTTCCTATTGTGACTAATTTCACTCAGCATGATGTCCTCCAGGTTCAACCATGTTCTGAGGTGTTTCACAGTTTCATCATTACTCTTCAATGTTTTATAGTTTCCCACTGAGTGTATTTACCAAAGTTTGTTTAATCTTTCTTCTGTAGATGGGCATTTAGGCTGTCTCCATCTTTTTGATACGTCTCTTATAACAGCATATTGAAGGATCCTGTTTTCTTATCTATTCTGCTATGTATTTTGACTGGTACATTTAATTGTCTTGCATTTAGTGTAATTATAAATACGTATGGATTGATTCTTGTCATTGTTCTGTGTGTGTGTTTTTGTGTGTGTGTGTGTGTGTGGTGCTGCTGGATTTTTTGTTCCACATAATTTTCTATGATAAGTTCATTTTGTTTGTGGGGTTCCTTTTCATTTTCACTTCTGTTGTGTTAATGTTTACTAAATCTTTTGATTTTGCCTCTTTTTTCATTTTGATGTACAGGTAATTTATTTTTCTTTGAAGTGACACTATAATTCCATTTTTTCCCTTCTTAAAACAGTCTGTTTCACCTTGCAATCTTGACTCTTCGCATTGGATGTTCTGTATCGATACTGTTCCCTTTTTGCTCTGTGGTTGTCTTCATTATACATTGACATCTCCGGTTCCCTATTTTCAGTCTTGTAGGTTTGTTTTACTATGAATACTTTATCTGGATTGAATTTCTGGGTGGTGTTGTCATGGATGGTAATCTCGAGCTATTATTGGTTCTCAGTCCAAAGAACGCTTTTTAGCATTTTTTATAAAGTTGGTTTGGTCATTATAAATTCCTGCTTTAGGAAAAACTAGGATATAGCACCATAATACCACTTGTATGAGGTTTATACGAGTTGGTTCTAACTCACAGAGACCCTATACAGGGTTTCTGAGGAACAGTTGGTGGTTCTGAACTGCCAACCTTGCGATTACCATTCCAGTGCTTTTCCTACAATGCCACACCACGACAGCATGAGGTTTCTATAGTGGCTAATAATTACATCAAATGATGGGAGGAAAATCTTAAAATGAGCATCTATGCTTCCTTTTTCCAACTTCACTGTCACTGCTTTGGTTTTGTTATTGTTGTTAAGTGCTGTCGAGTTGATTCCGACCCCTAGCAAACCCTGTATAGGGTTTCTGAGGAGCAGCTGGTGAGCTTGAACTGCCAACCTTGCAGTTCAAATGGCTTTGCAGTCTGGCACATTAACCCACCGCGCCACACCAGGACTCCCTGCTTTGGTTTAGAACCTAATTATTCCATGTCTGAACTACTGTAATTCCATCACCCACCCATTAATACTCCCAAACTAGTCTCAAGTATTTATTTATGATGCAATTGAACATTTTCCTGCTGGTAAATATTTTTCCAAAAAAGAAAACAAACAAATGAAAGCTGGACTATAAAAATTGCAGCAGGAATATGCTCAACTGGTTGAATTGAAAAAGACTTGTTGTGATATGCTTATGTAATAATGTGACACTCAGATCCACCCCTCCACCTTGCTCTCAAAACCCAAAACAGCCATACTCTATGAAAACTCTG